TTCACGTCATTTGGTTTTACACGCAGGCCTGGGCCAACCAACAGTGACAATGGAGGTGACCCCCACACACAGCCTACAAGGCCTGGTTCTCATCTCAGGAACCGCAACACACAGCCGGCTCTTGGTTCTCAGTGACCCTGTGTGTGCCAAGCCCACTCTTCGCAGTGATATCGAGCATACCCTACATGGCTCTGTCCAGCTCAGTACATCACGTGGCCTCTGCATAAGGAAAGGCATTTTTATGTGGGGGAGGACAAATGAGCAGCTGGGACCGCTGCCCCCTCAGCTTATGGATCAGTGGGGATCCCGAAACAAGTACCAAACTCTCTTCTTTATCTCCCCACTCTCTCCCTCTCCTCTGAAAATGGAGCCAAGTGTGTGCATGTACTAGAAGGCACCCTATCACTGAGCAATCCTATTACTCTTTTTTCCTCCTTCATTTCTTAAAAACCTGGGCCAGGGTCTCATTCTGTAGCTCAGACCTTGTGCTTGCTTTATGCCTCAGCCTCCACCACCTGACAAGAGGTGCATGTGTACCCCACAATGTCTGGCCTCATCTTCACTCTGAATGAATCACTGGTCTGAAGTGAGCTGCTCTGTCTCTCTGGCGATCAATGCCATGTATGAAAGAACTCCAAATGCCATTTTCATGGCCAGCTATGGGCAAGCAAAGCCCTGAGTCCATGTGAAATGGGGAACCAACCCAGGCAGGAGTCTAGATCACTGCTGTCACCTACCCTGTAATTCAGACGCATTGCAGATCCTTCTCCTTTCCTTCTTTCATGATTTCAGTCACTTCTGTGACTTACGCTGGTGGGGGTGGACTCTGGTAGAACAGGAAGGAAGTGTCTGGGACAGGAAGGGAAACAAAATGGCCCCTACTTTCTAGGATTTGGGGACACATGGGCTTCTTTAATTAATAATGTAATAAGTCGAGCAACAGTACCAAAATAACTGGGCACGGGGTCTTTTCTGAGACTCATACTCCAACCAAGGACCATTCATGGATATAACCTAGAACCCCTGCACAGATGTAGCCCATGGCAGCTCAGTATCCAAGTGGGTACCCTAGTAATGGGAAAAGAGACTGTCTCTGACATGAACTCTGTGGCTGGCTCTCTGACAACCACCCCCAGGGGAAGAACAGCCTTGCCAGACCACAGAGGAAGACAATGCAGCCAGTCCTGAAGATACCTGATAGGCTAGGGTCAGATGGAAGGGGAGGAGGACCTCCCCTATCAGTGGAGTTAGAGAGGGGCAGGAAGGAGAAGAGGGAGGGAGGGTAGGATTGGGAGGGAATGAAGAAGGGGGCTACAGCTGGGATACAAAGCAAGTAAACTGTAATTAATAAAGAAAATAAATTAAAAAAGATGAAAAAATAATGTAATAAGTCTTCTGCTTGGAAACCTGGGGTGATGGCTATCAGTGAATTTACAATCAGACACAATTATTTAAAATGCTGAAGAAGACAAACACAAGTAAGTCATGCTGCAGAGGAAAAGCAAGCCTAGGTACTGCTAGCATGGACTCCCTGCTGGGCTCCTGCATGCCTCTCAGAAGCTGCTGGAGTTGGTTAGGAAAACTATACTTCAAACAAAAGTACCCAAGGGTAGATCTGAGAGAAGGTCACAGATGGATCAGGAAGGAGAAGCCGAGTGGGAGCAGCAGCACCATCCTGAGGCGAGAAGTGAGGATCACAGCTGCAGGGGTCTGGACAGAGACGCAGCAGGACCGTCCAGAGTGCAGGACAGTCCTAAGGCATAATACTGGCAACGCAGCAAGCTTGATGACGTGAACATGACAAAGGACGTTTCACTGAGAAGATTTATTAAGCCAAAGTATGAACAAAGACATCCTAAGCTCACGTAATGCCACAGTCATTTATATTTGTAATTAGAAACACAGCATATATGTGAAATTATAAACTACATAGATATGTACTGAAAATAGTGGGCACACATATACTTTTGAATCATCCATTGGAAGCAGAAAAAGTATTACATAAACAGGGCCACAAAAAAAAAAAAAAAAAAAAAACAACCTCAAAATTTCTAAAAAGTTCAAATCTAACACCCGACTGAAAAGCAATAGCACTTGACTCTAAAATTTATAGGCAAAAGCAAAGACATGTGAGAAAAAGGGAAATTTTATATGCCTTGATGTTCCAGAAAGATGTGAAGGGACAGCCCCAGGTACACAGAGAAAAGCTCAGGAGGAGGTGGCTCCAAGGCAACAATCAGAAGCTGCAAACAAGATCCTAAAAACAGTAAGTCCAAAGACAGCAGAAAGAAAAGACCCAAGAAACGGGTTTTTAAAAATTATTTTAAGGAGATGAAAAGAAAACGTAAGTTTAAACCATCACAGAGATTATAGGCACACAGGGCTGAGCCCTTTCTTCACGCTGGCAGAGCAGCACGTGGGCACCCGGTTAGCATCCCGAAGTCTCTATGGAGACCGATTTCTTTGAAGATACTGACAATGAAAGACTGTGAGCTTACGTACAAAGAAAGATAATGCTTAAATATATCACGGACTGGATCATTTCAATGATAAAGAAAAGTTTCCCAGTGACTTTGGGGGTAAAAAAAATGAGAATTATGCAATTGACATGTGAGAGTGATATGGTGGAGAAGCAGGGGGCAGGAAGCAGGGGGCAGGAGGAAGAACAGGAAGTTTAGAACAGGAAGCATCAGGCAGGGAGCTGGAAGCAGAGAGCAGGAAACTGGGAGCCAGGCATAGCGAGCAAGTTACAGGGAGCTGGGGCCAGGCTGTGCTGTGCTCCTGGTTTGACTGTGGAGTCTCCATGGAGTCCCATAGGCCTATAGCATCCTCTAACGGGAATCTCATAGACTGATAGAGATAAAGGTGAGAGACCACGGGGTCAAAGTCAGGGGGTTCATGGGACCTTGTGGGTATAGGGAAAGGGCTCTGACCTTGGGATGCAACACAGTGGAGTCTGGGCCTTGTGTCTGGAGCCAGACACAAGACAAGAGTCTGGCCTCCCTCTGCTACACTGACCGTGGACAACACGCCAGGGGTCAGGCCAAAGCAAAGACAGAGTCCAGGGACCAGGAGGACACAGGAGCTAAGAAGCCAATTCTCCTTGACAGGACAGGGCTCATAGGATGGACAAGAGTCTGGAGAAGAGCTGCCAGTTTCTCACAGAAACTGGTCCTTAGAGATGGATGCCTGGTCTTCTCTTCCACTCAAGAGGAAGGAATGAACTCAAGAGAGCAGAGGTCTTTTTTAAAACCCTGCCACAGGCCATTTCTGAGTCAGAACAGAAATTCTCCTCAAAACACAGGAATGAAAGTCACTGGCTTAACACACAGAGGCCCTACTCCAAAGGAAACAGTGTATGGACAAGAGCAGCACACAGTGTGGGCACAAGGCAGGACAGACGACTCAGTCATTGAATGCAGGCGAGCGCTCTGGCTCTCACAAGGAAAAGAAGCCCAGATAAAAGACTGCTTTGCTATTAAGACTTTAAAAGACACCATCTCAGTTGTCTGGGGTGTCAGAGCTCAGGGTCTCTGGGGTGTCACTTTGAAAGACTAAGGACCGGCTCCACTGGGGTGCAGGCTATAGCCGTGTCTCTCACTGTTCCCAGCTATGTCTCTTCTTTGCCTCCCAGACTCCTTGGGCTGCTACTCCAGATTCTCCAGTACCGTGGTTGCTCGCCCTTCCTGAGGCCCCCAGTCACTCCTGGGCTGAGCACTGGGATCTTTCAGATGGACCGTGGTTACCAGTTGTGACCTGAACAGTAGCAGGAAGGGTGACTGAAGACAAATCTCAGGCAGGGTCAGGGCACACTTTGATAAGGTTTTATTTTGTCTCACACTTCCCCGGATAGCATTCCCTACACTACCAAAAATACTGGCATTTTCTTCTCAATTAAGAAAGCATTAAAGACAGGTGCTCAGGCACACAACATGTGTCAAAATATATTCATAATTATTATACACATATATGAATGCACATGTATTATAAACTATTTTCTATAATTTATGCTAATTTTCATAAATGTATATATAACTTAAATGTATATGCAACTTGATGAAAAACATGCACACATCATACCTATATACATGCATACATACATCATACATACATATATACATCATACATCCATACCTCAGTCTCTTTATAAAGGATTCTCCCAGGAATAGTAGCTCCCTCTGTGTGAAGCACAGAGATGCCATTCATTCATACAGACTCTCTTCTCTGTCCTCCTCAAGTGCTCAACAGTTTTATCTGTTTTTACTGCTTTGCTTCCACTAGACTGGAAATGGCCTTCCTAATGACCTGGGGTCCTGATCCATTAGATGCACGTGGTCATAAAGGCAGATAGTCCTATTTTGTACAAGGACTCCCGTAGGCAAACTGTAGTTTAAGAATGTTCTGCTGCTTCGGGAACAGTGGGCCTTGCAAACTAAGGCTTCGGGAAGAGTCCCCTGAGTTCTTTAGTCTCAAAATACTGTGCACCAGTCCAGGCACATTCTTGTAGTTTCTCTTCAGCAATTTTTAAACTTCCTGTTTCCCATTTCCTGACCTCTAGGTCATGGGTCCCCAAGGACATCACCAACAGCTGTAAGAGCAGGGAACGAGATGGCACACAACAAATTTGCTCAATATGGGTTGCTGTGCTTTGGGAGGGAAAAACTGTGACTTTCCCAACCAGTCCCGCTCATTGCATTGCAGTTAACATACTTTCCTAGTAGGAAACCAGACTCCTTGACCTCACTTTGTGAGAGCACAGCTCTGAAGATGCGGGCCTCTTCTGGGCTCTCATAGACAAGGAAGGACAAGGCTCGCCTCTTGGTGACTGGGCACCACAGCACAGGGCTACTCCACCTTTTCCTTGAAGAGTGGCCTCTTCCTCATGGATAGCCACTCTACACCAAAAAGGCTGTCAGTCGCTTTGCTGTGCTGAAAGCATCCAAGCTTAACAGTAAGTCTGTGCCTGGGAGGGAGAAGAGGCAAGACACGACCACACATACCTGGCTGGGCCGGAAGCTTCCCCGAGCCATGGGGAAGCCCTGGGGAGGTCGGCGAGTTCCTGGGCCATCACGCGCTGGGTATAGTCGTCCTGCCACGTGAAACCTGTGGGGAAAGGAGTATAACCTGAGCATGAATTTGCAAATGTGGCTAAACTCTCACCCCAGATTCCCAGAACACAGATCCCTGGTCTTCCTGCAGAGCATGGGACCATGTGCAGCTCTGTAAGATCCCCTTGGCTTTCTCAAATTTCCAGACCCCATGACAATCAGGGCTTTGCTCCATTGTTTTAAAAACAGGTGCAGTAGGGGCTGACGTGGCTGGCAGACAACGGAGAGCCAAACCAAGAGAGACGTTTCTCTAGTGTAGAGATGGACCTTGTCCCCCTGGGTAGGAGCTGACAGCAAGGATGCCGCCATCGCCAATGGGCATGTAGCTGCCGGGCACACTCAGCACGCCCACTGTCTGCTGAGCTGGCGGCCAAACCACAGTGGAACGACTGTTCCCCCTGACCCATCCTGCCCAGAGCCCAGCGTTTGGCTGGATAGGGTTACACTCCTGCAAGGCAATTACCGGGGATTTAATGTAGCAAATCTCAGAGCCAATTACACTATATTTACACTCAAATGTTGTGACAAAGAGCTTCACAACAAGGGGGAAGCAGTTACGAAGGCAAAAATCCATGCGATTGTGCATTAATTACATGCGCTGTGGACCACATGATAATTATGCGCAGAATTACCAAATAACTCCCAAGAATAATTATTATGCAATTCGTACATTTTAGATCTGACGGTAACGCGTTCACACTTAGAGCTACTCCATGCAATTATACGTAATTATCTAATCACTAAGCATCATGTAATTACAGAGGTATATTTTTATGCTCTGTGCAAAAAACAAGTCACAAATCCTTCAAACCAGGACAGTTCAGTGTATGTACATGTTTGCACACGTGTGAATGTTTACCCCCATATGTTCATGTGCATGTGATCATGAATGTAAGTATTGTGCATACATGAGTAGATGTGTGTGCATATTTGTGTGTGTGCACTCACATGAGTGCATCTGTGTATGTGAATGCCCCTGTGTGTGTGTGTGTGTGTGTGTGTGTGTGTGTGTGTGTGTGTGTGCGTGTGTCTAGTATGGTAAGGAAGTCCAGAGCGCACACTCTGGATGAAGTTTAAAGAAGCCAGAAGTGGTTTTCATGAACATATTTCAACATTTTGAAATGCAAATGTGAATTGCCAAAGCTTACAGATGGCAAGAATCAAATGGCTTGCCTGTCCTCAGTCCTGGGAGGCCCAGTGGTGAAAATGCTGGGGGGTCTCTGGCCTCTGCCCCAGGTCCTCCGGAGCACCTCTCTGTGGAAGGTAACTCAGCACAGGGAGCTCAGCCCAGCCCAGCAGCCTGCTGTGCTTGGTGTTAAGGCAACAGAAAGGCAGGCCCTCTGCCAGGCACGCTTCAGAGGCCTCTCGGTCCATTCCCAGGAGCCTTCTCAATGGAAAACGCTTTTGCGATGTTAACCCAGCAGCCAGCATTTTAGGTTTAGAAAACAAGCGTATTTTAAACATGCCATTCCCCAAGGACAGCCTTACTATTAATATTTATCAGGCAACCGATAATTGAGAGCATAGAAGAACTTTGCATGAAAAAAATTTCATTAAAAATGACATCTTCTGGGCTAGGGAGATGACTCGGTGAAGTGCGGGGCTTGCATGCTCAAGCACTGTTTGATTTACAGACCCCACGTCTGGAAAGCTGGGCACGTTGGCAATGCTTGGGACCCCAGGACTGAGGAGGCGGGAACAGCGGGACTCCTGGGGCTCACTGGACAGTCTAGCACACTCGGCAGGTTTCGGGCCAGTGAGAGACCCTGTCTTAAGAAACAGAAGAGGTTGCTCCTGAGAAATAGCCCCCTGGCTTCCCGTGAAGGGCATGCACACGCATGTGCACACGCATGGCACGCGTGCCGGCGAACACTCAAGTGGCACTCTGTAGAGTGTGTGCTGAAGAGCGCACTGAGCACTGCTACAGTGCTGGGCGCGGTGGCGAGGCCGCAGGGGCGCGACCGGCCAGCAGACTGGCGGTCTGCACAGGCGTCCACGGGCGACCTCGACCCCACGCAGGGTGCTAAGGTTCCACTTGAGAAAAAAAGTAAGTGCTTTCGTGTGTTGGGAAAAAGGGGGGGGGGGGCTGAGCATCGCTTTGAACTTCCAAGGAAACAAAGACGACCCGTCTGCCTGAACGGGAGGACATGGACCGTGGGCAGGAGAGGAGGAAAACGAGATTTCCACTCAGTCAGTCCATCCACTGACTGCTTCCGGCAACCTGAGACAGGGAGGGCCAAGGGTGCGAGAACGAGCAAAGAAGGAGCCTACAGCAAGGCTTCATGCCCTTCTCCTGGGTGCCCAGATGTAGTGTTGACAACACCAACCCATGAATGCCCTGGGACAGGCACACACACACACATATACATACACGTACACACATATACACACATATGTACACACACATGTACACACACACGCACATGCACATGTACACACATATACATACACACATATGTACACACACATATACACGCACACACACATACATACACACATACACACACATATACACACACATATACACACACGCATACATACACACACATACACACATGCATACATACACACACATATACACACACGCACACACACATGCGCACACACACACCCTCCGGTCACCATCCACGCTCAGCAAAGGGCATCCCAGCAAGACCTGAGAACATTAGACAGCCGTGGGCTCCACAGAAAGTGCAGTCTCCCGTCCCACCTTCCAGGCTGCGCATCCTGAGGCTCCTCCCTCCTGAGACAAGAAGAATGCCCTCACCCCATGACTCAGCTTTGAAGAACACTGAGCTGGGGGAGTGACCCTGCACCGCCCATGATACACAGGGTGGCGTGGACTAGAGGCTCTAACTCTCACCCTCCCCACCCTCAGAGGCAGAAGAGGCTCAGAGGGATTTGAACCTCCTTTGAGGTTAGCTGCAAGGAGTACTCTACCCTATCTTGCAGAACAGCACCAGTTAAAGCTGGACAGAGCACAGAGTTTAAACAGAGCCCAGGCCCTTATACAAACCACACAGAATTCAGTGGAAATCACTGGTCCCACCAAGGGATACCTCAAGACCAGGGATGGGGTACCTCAGGCAGAATGAAAGCAGAGTTAAGAGACAGCAGCACTGGAATGGCATGAGCTAGAGCTGTCAGATTGTAATTTAAAGCCGTAGCTCCAGTGAGCTATGAACCCATACGAAACAAAAGAGAAAACAAAGAGCCTTAGCAAACACAGGGGTGATAGAAAAACAACAGAAACAGAAGGATCATAACCAAAGACGACGACAAGAAAACAGTTCTGTGGGTACACTGCTTAGGACGAAAAGGTAAAAAGAGTCTGTGAACTGCAAGACAGAGTTCAATTACACAAAGTCCACAGGCTGCAAAAACAACGACGGCACCCGGAGTCTCTGGGGTCATAACCAAAGGTGTACCATCCATGCCAAGAGACTCAAGGAGAGGACAAATAAGGCAGGGCCCAAAAACCTGCTTACAGAAGTGATGGCTCAAGATGTCTCCATTTAGACAGTAGGCTTGGGGCTGGGGTGAGGAGATGGCTCAATGGGTAAGAGCATTTGCTGCTCCTGCAGAGGACCAAAGTTCAGTTCCCAGATCTCACATCAGATGGCTCACAATTGTCTGTATCTCTAGCTCCAGGGAGCCAATGCCCTCCCCTTTCCTCTATAGGCATCCATATGCAATACACACATATATTCAACAAATGTTACATATACATAGATACATATATATGTACATGTTATGAGACCTAAAACTAGAAACTTATTTTAAAAAAATTCAAAGAAACTGAGCACAGCCCACACAGCAGACCCTGCCTCCTTGTCCAAGATTCATGAACATTAAATTTCTGAAAACCTATAAAGAAAAAGTCTTGATGCTGCCCCAAATGACTCCTTACCTATATGGGACAGGTGATCCAAAGGACAGGATTCACCATCAGAAGGTAAGCCATGAGGGAAAAGTGCCAAAGAAACATTCTGAATCTATCAGACAGCCAGAGACAACCCATGGGGATGAGATGTAAATAAAGAGACTCTCAAACGAAGCAACAGGAGCTTTCACCAGAAGGGCTACTCTAGGAAAACACAAAGTGAACTACGTGGAAGCAAAGGAAGTGGTGGGAGAAGGAAACAACCCCAGGAAAGAACATAACTCACACAGCGCTGCTTCTCCCAAGCCTGTGTTTGAACATGGAATCACATATTATAACATCCACATTTTCCTAAGGACAGGGAGAGGAAATGATTAGCAGCTATGTTATAAATGAGTGGGTAGGCCTGTCAAAAACAGGCTAAACTAGGGTACTAACAAACTGCTGTAAGCCACATACATGCAACATAATATTTCAACAAACCAGGTATTGAGGAAAAACACCACCGATAAAATGAATTTCCAAATACATCAAAGTAACCTAAGGAAAACAAAATACATACATACAGAGGGAAAGGAAGAAAGAAAGAAGGAAAGGAAGGAAGGAAGGAAGGAAGGAAGGAAGGAAGGAAGGAAGGAAGGAAGGAAAGAAGGAAGGAAGGAAGGAAAGAAAGATGGAGAAGAAGAAAAAACAAGCTGGGAGTACAGCTCAGCACTACAATACTTACTTAGCACATGTGAGGCTCTGAGTTTGATACTCAGCACCAGAAAAAAAGGAAGAGCAGGAGGAAAAAGGAAATGGAGAAAGGCAACATTATACCTTAAAATGTCAATAATTATATTCAATATCAGTGTCTTAAAATACGTAATGAAAAATATTTAATGTGTCACATTTTCTGTATCCATTCTTCGGTCGAGGGACATCTGGGTTGTTTCCAGTTTCTGGCTATGATGAATAAAGCTGCTATGAACATAGTTGAGCAAGTGTCCTTGTGGTATGGTGGAACATCTTTTGGGTATATGCCCAGGAGTGGTATAGCTGGGTATTGAGGTAATGCTATTCCCAACTTTCTGAGAAGGCACCAGATTGATTTCCAAAGTGGTTGTAAATGT